ATATATATATATATATATATATAGTCGCGGGATACAGAGTACAGCATAGGGAATAGAGTCCATGGAATTATAATAAATATATACAATGTCAGAGTCAATAGATTGGGGAAGAAGGGTTATCACTTTGTGAGGGGTGAAATGTCTAACTATTACATTATTTTGTACACCTGAAACTAATAAAGTAAATAAATAAATAAATAAATAAAAGGAGGGCCAATCTCAGCATATGCCATCTCCACCAAACTGTCACCATTTTCCTCTCTGAATACCTACATCTTCCATATGTCTATACCCAAATTCCACCATGCTAGGCATTTGACAGGATAGCAGCACCCACATTTCAAGAAATGCGACTGATGCATGGTAAACAATGCAGTCGGAGATGAACGTTCCTATGAAGCACTGAATGAGTCAGTCACATAAAATTCTTATTTCTAGTACATAATGTCAAAAAAGCTGCAGGCTTCATAACCTACACATTTCTACCAACAACAGTCCATGTGCATTAGGTGCCTCAAGACCTATGAAATTAAGACAGGGCACTGTGGGAACTCAGGTAACTTATTTATAAAGGTCAATACGTGAGAAGTGAGGACTTGAACCCAGGTCCTTTGACTTCAAGTCTCATGTTCTTTTCCATTACTTCATTCCCGGAAGTTGAATTCTAGTTGGGAGGCAAAACTAACAAGAGCCAAGCTGCATGGTAGGTTTATACGTTCAGTACAAGGAATAGATCTGTACAGGATGGAGGATTTAAAAGATTTGGGGAACACTTTTTTCATGTGAGGTCTACATGAAAATCCAATATGTAAAACAGATATACATGGAGCTGCTTGGATTGGAGCTAGGGTGGGATGCCAGAGCCCCTTTCCCATGCTCTGCAATGGATTCTCCTTGGCGGCCCTTCGGAAGTCTTGGGGCTCTGCTGAGTAGTTTGGAAATTGTGTGGCTAAGTCCATGGTTCTGCAAGTGTAGCCCCTAGACCAGCAGCATCAGCGTTGTCTGGTGTCTTCTTAGAAATATGAATTCTTTGGCCCCACCCAAGACTTCTTGAATCAGAAATTCTGAAGGTGGGGCTTAGCAAGCTATGTTCTCTGGATAATTTTGATGCCCAAAAAGTTTGAGAACCAGGGTCTACTTCATCTCCATAAAGTAAGAGGGGGAAACCACCGCTTTGAAAGAACATTTGAGGTTGGGATTGGGGGCTTTGAAGGGAGTTAGGAGCTGCCGCTGGGAGGCCTTCTCTAAGACATCAGCAGAAATGGATGTATTCAGGTAAAACAGCAGAGAAGTCCTACCAAAGCTGGCAGGTATCAGCGTGCACTCCCAATATTCACATCTGTCCCCTGAATGCCTCAGAATAGGAGAGAAGACAGTGGGCATTTGAAGTAACCTAGCACTCTGGGTACAACGTTTAGGAAAAGAGGAGTCTAAGAGGCCACACTGAAGTGTCTGGCCATGAGGGGACTAGACTTGGTGGAGGTAATAAGTAGGCTCAGTAGATATGGGGGGATGGGAGAGACAGAGGTTAGGCAGCTTCACTAAGGGGAAAGGGGTAGGGAAGTTTCATGTTTGAGATCTCCATGTTGAAACACTCCTAAGTTATATCAAAGCCCAAGATTTGACTCTACATCGTGCTTCACTGTTGAATTTATATTTCTAAATTGGCAAACGTGCATAGCAACCATTTCTATATAATAAACAAAACTAAAAGTTGTATTTTTTTTCTGCACTCAAAAATATTTCAATTTCAATCTTTTTTATATGTTGGTGTAATGTTGTCTTCATCCTATCTTGAAAAGGAGTATACTTTCCTTTTTGAGTGTATTTTTCCTTTTTTGTACTGGAGGTGCCAAAAAATATATATACAAGTGGACACTTTGGTCAACGTTGCTCAAGCAGTAGTTCGCTGTAATCAAAAGTGTCTGGACCACTTTGAGCACCTCTTGTAATTGCAGAAGTTAAATGTGACTTGTATTCATCTTTTGTTATTGGCATACATTGAGTATTACAATTTTAATACAATTTCCTTTCTTAAAATGTGTGTAAATTTTTTGGGCACCCTGTTTACATTTTTGTGGTAAAATACACATAACATAAAATTAACCATTTTAATACTTTTTTAAGATTTTTATTGGGGAATTGGGGGATGGGAACAGTGCTGGGGAATTGGGGGAAGGGGGACAGACAAGTTGCTGTCATTTTGTTCTTCAGTCTAGTTGTGGAGGACGTTGTTTCACTGGCCCAAGTTGGCACCATTATTGCACTCTTCCCAGGCGAGGCAGATCAGTCGCTGGCTTCTGGATGGCCGCTCACTGCAGCTGGCTGCTGGCTACATACGGTAGACCATGGCAACTCACTGCAGCAGGGGCTGCAGCCTACGCCATCGCTGGCGACTCACGGCAGCCCAGCTCCAGGTTAAGCTGTTGTTCAGCATCTTAGCTGTGGAGGGCAGTATCACTGCCCCTCATATGTGGGATCTGAACCGGGGCCCTCTGGCATCCCAAGCCAGTTCTTAACCATCGCACCACTCGGCCAGCCCTATTTTAATAATTTTTAAGTGTACAGTTCAGTTACTTTCCTTTTTGGTGCTAAAATGTCATTCTTTTATGAAATAATAAGAACAGACTGTGGTTGGCTGGGGAAAGATGTTTTTACTTGAAAAATTAAAAAGTTGGTACTTTATTTTAGGTTCCTAATTTTGTTTTGATGCTACTGGACTGAGAAATCCAGACATCTATGAACCACTGCCTTAAAGGAGAGCTGGGATTTACAGGGGTGGAGAGTTTGTGGCGGGGGGAAAGAGACATGAACAAAGCCATACAGAGGGCCATGTGCAGGGCATTTTTTGAGGGTGCACAGGAAGCATGTAACCCTAAGGGGTTGGCAGCCATCTTTGCATCATGACTGGAGAGCCTACATGACAACAGAAAAGGTGGAGCAGAGAAATGGGAAACTAAGTCCCAGCACTTACAGCACAAATGAAGGCCCACTCGAAGCCTACCCTACCCCTCGTCTCTGAGGTTACTGCTTAAGTCCTGTTTCTGCTTAAGCCAGTTTGCGTCTTGTTTTCTTTCACTTGCAACTGAAAAACTAGTGATGGGCAAAGCTAAAGCGATCCTCAGAATAAAGGAAAAGAACGTGGGCATTTGCAGTATTCCAGCGCTCTGGAGTACAGCTCTTCGGGGACAACACAAGTCCAGGAGGCTTTTGAAGTGACTAGCAATGAACGGGTAGCATTGGGATGGAAAGGGAGGGTGGGCTCTGAGCTTCAACGTGAAAGAAGAGGTGCCCACCAGAATGGTTTCTGTCCTGAGCCCGACTTTGATTAACACCACCGCCTTCTCGAGGATAAAGAAGGGCACCAACTCCTCCCAGGGAAATGATGCAACCTGTCACTAGGTGGTAGTTGGATCTGCCATGGAAGTGTTGGGAAAAGGTAGACAAAGAGTTGCTTGAGCAGGTCCCAGGGATAAAAAGAAGGGGCTAAAAATTGGGGAAGGGGAAGATTGTGGGGGGAGGGAGAAAGAAAGAAAATTGATGAAAACAAACAGAACATGGATAAAAACCTACAGAATAGGAGGACAGCATAACATGGTTGCTAAGAGTGGGCCCCGGGACCAAACAGATACCCGTTTCAAAACCCATGCATCACTCACTTGTCTTAATTCACCTCTCCAGGCATCCCTTTCCTATCTGTAAATGAGCATGAAAGTGCCTCCTTTAAAAGACTGTGAGGCACCAAAAATATACCATAGGGAAGCCCCCAGCAGAGTGTCTGGGAGGAGTAGGCATTCTCACTTGTGTCTTGTAAGGATGAGATGGATGAACGCAGGAAGACAGGAGAAGAAAGCTCCTGACCCTCCTCAATAGCAAGCAGCAAATATTCACTCTGTATAGAAGTAGCTCTAAGGGAAATTAAAAGAAAGGGTCACACTAGGGGTCGGCTGAGTGGCTCAGTTGGTTAAGAGCTGGCTTGGGACGCCAGAGAACCCCGGTTCGGATCCCACATATGAGGGCCAGTGACACTGCCCTCCACAGCTAAGATGCTGAACAACAGCTCAACCTGGAGCTGGGCTGCCGTGAGTCACCGACGACAGAGTAGGCTGCAGCCCCTGCTGCAGTGGGTTGCCATGGGCTACCGTGTATAGCCAGCAGCCAGCGTGAGCGGCCAGCAGCCAGCGTGAGCGGCCAGCAGCCGCGGTGAACAGCCATCCAGAAGCCGGCGACTGATCTGCCTCGCCCAGGAAGAGCGCAATGATAGTGCCAACTTGGGCCAGTGAAGCAACGTCCTCCACAACTGGACTGAGGAACAAAACGACAGCAACTTGTCTGTTCCCCTTCCCCCAATTCCCCAGCACTGTTCCCACCCTCCCCCCAATTCCCCAATAAAAATCTTAAAAAAAAAAAAAAGAAAAGAAAAGAAAAGAAAGGGTCACACTAAAAGAAATGGCTTTTGAGAAATGCCAAGAACGTGTACTTCATTGCCCCTGTGTGGCCCTATTCTCTGACAGAGCCACAGTAAATGTGTGTTGAATCTGACAATAATGGAGAATCTTCAACATACAAAGATGGAGGGTGGGGGAGAGGATCACTTAACAGAACAAAACATTAAAACAAATCAAAATTTCCCCAGGTTTTCATTTCAGTTGGCAAAGTATGGCATTACCTCACGCCAAATTTGGTCTAGCTGGGCCGGACCGGGCCAACTCAGACCAGGGCGCCCTCTTCTGGTCCTGCACCCAGGGGCTGGGTGAGCTGGAGGTAACAATCGCTGGTGCTTTTGTTGTTCTACCCTGAACACTTGCCTCCGGAGACCGCCTCCGGGACCAGGAGAGAGAGAGGGGGAGAGAGAGGGCGAGAGAGGGGGGGGGAGAGAGAGAGAGAAAGAGAGAGAGAGAGAGAGAGAGAGAGAGAGAGAGAGGATTCTGATTTGGCGGTGCACCTGGTACCCGTTACTAATAAATAACAGGGCTGTCTGGCATTTATAAAGCACTTTACTGATAATAACAATAAGTCAATTCTATAAGGCACTCTATTACGGTAGCAATAAATAATAGCCCTGTGTCTGCATTATCTCCTCCAATCTTCCCAACAGCCGCTAAGACGTCTTATTATCATCACTTTTATAAGGAAACTGAAGCTCCGAGGTGTAAAGTACTTTGGTTACGACGCAGGAAAGTTCAGACTTGACCCCAGAACTCCAGATTCAGGCGGAGCAGTGGCCGAGACCCCGGAGAGCCGCGGAGCTGCCTTCCCAGCCAAGGGACGACCGCAGGGGCAGGTCGGGAGCGCAGGTGGCTGCACCCCCACGAGGGGGCGGGCTCAGCCGGCAGGTTGCACCCCGAACCTTCGGCAGCCAACACGCCACTCCACGTACCAGAGAGCCCGCGAAGGCGCTGACAGCTGGCTTGCACCGCCGTTCCCCCAGCCTCTCCGTGCGCCCCCGCGCAGCCCGCCCGTCGTCCGCCAGGAGCCTGCCCCGCCGCCGCGCTGCACGACCGGAGTGCGCCCTCTTCCCTCGCGGGGACAGGGGGCCCCGCCACCGTCATGCTGCCCGCCATCTACACGGTGCTGGCGGGGTTGCTGCTCCTGCCGCTGGTGGTGAATTTCTGCTGCCCCTACTTCTTCCAGGACACGGGCTACTTCTTACTGTTGGCAAGCTTGGCCCGGCGGATGCGTAGCTACCGGCAACAGCGGCCGGTGCGCACCATCCTGCATGCCTTTCTGGAGAAAGTGCGCCAGACCCCACACAAGCCTTTCCTGCTCTTCCGCGACGAGACTCTCACCTACGCGCAGGTGGACCGACGCAGCAACCAGGTGGCGCGGACGCTGCACGACCGCCTCGGCCTGCGCCAAGGAGACTGCGTGGCGATCTTCATGGGCAATGAACCCGCCTACGTGTGGCTGTGGCTGGGCCTGATCAAGCTGGGCTGTGCCATGGCGTGCCTCAACTGCAACATCCGCGCGAAGTCCCTGTTGCACTGCTTCCAGTGCTGCGGGGCGAAGGTGCTACTGGCCTCGCCAGGTGAGCCCGGGGATGGCTCGGCCCTGGCATGGGGCTCCTCTGCGCCTTGAAAACCCGCCACAGCGTAGGGTACGGGGTTCGAGGGGGAGGTTCAAATAGGAACTGGAGGTGTAGAAGAAGGGGATGGCTTCCTCGAAATGCTAATTAATGATCATTAGAACCACTAGTCGTGGAAACTGACGGTGAGAGACACTGTGAAGCACTATACATGCAGTGTTGCTTTTAATTCTCACAACAGGTAGGGTTTACTATCGGACTTTATAGATGAGACCACTGGGGCCAGAGAGGTGAAGCCTCATACTCCAGGTCACAGAGCTGGGAGCAGGGGGGGTTAACCAGGACATTTACCACCAGTCCAATCTCTTAACCAAGACTGACGACGTCTGCGTTAAAATGCAGAGTCTTGACTGAACACCAGTGGATCCGCAAAAACTGTTCTCACCTCTGCTGCTTGATTGGCTGTGTGACCATGGGAAAGTCACTTCCCCTCTCTGACCCTTGGTTTCTTCATCTGTAATGAGGCAGTCATCAAGGCTGCTTCCGGCCCTCAGGTGCTGTTAGCCTCCCTGGATTCTCACTGCAGAGAGTAGGATTCTCACTACTTAGTCCCCACAGAGAAGACTTTGGAGATCAGCTGCAGTGCCCTAGTGAGCCCCTATATTCTCTATAGCAATAGTGACACTTGGTTCTGTTGTTACCTCCTGCTACATTTCAACAAGACCTGAAATGCTACAGTGGTGACCAGGTCAGAAAGAAACCAAGAACCTGTGACCCAGGGGCCGCTGGTTTTTCCTTCCCAGAAAGCTTCTCTCTGCACTCGCATAAGAACTAGCAGTTGCTTCTCATTCTGTCAGTAAGAGGAGGCCTAGCCAGTGTGGGCTGAAAGACATGAGGAATAGGAAGCCAGGAAGCCTCGCCTTTTGGGAATGCCTTTTTGTAGCAAGCCCTATACTGGATGCTTTTATGAGAGATTACATATCCTTACCCCTGGTTATACAGTTGAGGAAACTGAACCTTAAAATTCCAACCTAGGTCTGTCCAACTTCAAAGCCCATGACTTTCCCTATGTCGTGCTACCTTCCTGTTCACAGCCGTAAAGCAATCGAGCTGGAAGGGATCAAGCATCCATCTGCTTTCCCCCTTCATTTCATAGCTGAGGAAATGAGGCAAGCTAAGCCATTTGCCTAGTGTCACAAAAAGATGAGATGTATATTCGCTTGTGAGGAGCCAGAAAACTTACACACCTATTTCACCTGGCATTTTAAAAAATCCAAAAAAATGAAAGTATAAAGTTTAAAAACAGGGACAGTTTTTAAAGGCAACCAAGTTATTTGAAGGTGATGGTCCTTTCAAGAAAACTCCCAACAATTTCTAGTTGCCTGGGACAAGAGACAACTTCGTTACTTTGTAACTAGAAGACTCTTAAATCTGTTACTTTACCAATCCATTCAGAGGGAAGTTATTAGTGCAGTGATCTTTGTACTACCCCAGACGGGGCTAAAATACAATTAAACTGCATAGTACAGCCAGACACTGCTTCACGATGGGAATAAGGTCTGAGAAATGCATCGTTAGACGATTTAGTCATTGTGTGAACCTCACAGCATGCACTTACACCTAAGCTATATGGTATAACACCATCACATATGCGGTTCATCATTGATCAAACCATCATTATGCAGCACATGACTGCATCCCAGGCCCCCTGTGAGGAAGGTCAAGGACTGGGAGTTTTGTTGACAAAGAAGCTTGGGTTTAAATGACTATAGTAGAGTTTGGTTCTGTAATCAAGTCAGAAATATAGCCAGGTAACTCCTTCTCCACCCAGGCAGCAGTCTTCTGCTGTTGAACATTATGTTTAGATTAGTGTACCTGTACTTTCCTTTCCAGTGGGCCTATGGTACTCTCTGGCAATAAACTGACCTTTGAGAAAAGCCACACATTTGCAAAACATTCAGTTTTTCCAAATCACTGAGAGACCATTGCACAACAGGCAGAATTGCGCTCTGAATGGGAACAGTTATTGCAAAGGTGGTAACAGAGTCCAAAGTTGCATGCTTAGTAAATATGCCCATGTGTTGAATTGACTGGTTCTTAGAATTCTTTAAAGTTGGAAAGAATCTTAGAGATATTCTAATTCAATAAAAACTTCAACTTCAATAAAAACTTTAGAAAAGAAATTTTAATGAGCATAAGAATCACCTGGGAAGCTTATTTTGAAAAACTGATTCCTAAACCCCATTTCCAAAAAACACTGATTCAGTAAGACTGTGGTGGGACCCAGAAATGTGGTTTTTTTGTAAGCCCCACCCCACTCCCAGATGATTTTGAAGCAGATGATCTGAGTGAGAACTAGACTTTGAGAAACAATCAGTCTAGTTTCCACTTGTTCTATAGAACAAAGACCCAGAGGGGTGGTATCACCTGTGCAAGGTCACATGGCTAGTTAGCAACAGAGAACTGGGGACAGAACTCAAATTTTTTCTCACTTCCAGGGTACTTTTGTTCTATTACACCATCTGAACATGGTAAATAATGATGAGGAGTTGTAAAACTATTGGAGTGGTGACAATTCAACAGGATTTGATTCTGGACTTTGAATTTCGGGCTCAGGGCTTGTGAGTTAGTAAGAGCCCTGGAGTTCTGACTGTCACATTTTGGAACGTATGTAAAGGACCAGGGCAGTGGTATTAATCATGAGGATTGATCCAGTTGTCATAAATTTGGGGGACCTGTAAAGCTTAACAGGGCTCAACTGTATCAGGAATTTCAGTACCCAGTTATTTCTTCAGAATTTACTCTACTTACCAAAGTCAAAGACTCACAAACACATCCCTGAATTAAACAGAAGCACCCTTCTCCCACAGAATATGTCCTGTCTCCTAGAGAACATTTCAGAATCCTTCTCTGGGGCAGGGTATGGTGTAAATAATCTCATGGAAAAAATTGCCTTCACTTATTTCAACCTGTTTTGTGGTGTTGATAGAAACCAGCTTGTTGGTCTGGGAGCTTTTCAAGCAACTTCCCAAACATAGAATATGAGAAAGACAGGAAAGCATATTTAATCTCATACAACACAGGATATTTTGTAAAAACGTCTGAAAATAGTAAATTTGCTTTATTTTCATTTATGCTAGCATTAAGATCATTGCTAAACTAGCTCTTCTACTGGAAGGATAACCCAGGACTTCTTCATCAGCTCACTTCATTAGTCAAGTTCTACACTGCCTGACTCAACATAGCCATGCAAGCCTCTCACAAGGCTTTATTAACCGTTAAAGAGTCTTTCTATTGCAAGACTGACATCCAGAGAGGTTATAAAATGTCCCGGATTACCTTTGACCTTGTTTTTCAAGGTTGTGAAAAACAAAATTGGACCTCCTTTAAGCAATGTGATAAAGGAAACTGCTTCCAATAATTTTCAAAAGTATTGCATTATTGAACATTCTAAAGCTTCATTATAAAACTAGTGTCAGGACCAAGGAAAAGTCTTGTCATACAAACTTTTGAGGTTAGATTGAGAAAAGCAGATGGTACAACAATTTAATGTCAAATCAAGAAATATTTAGAGAGTGCCCACAGGTACAAGCTCGTTGCCATGATGGGGTGGGGAGTTAAGATGAATTAGTTCAGGAGCCTTACAGTCCAGTAAAACAACTGAGCCACATACACAAATGATTGTAATACCCAGGAGAATGTAATAAGTATGCTGGGAGAGCTACAAAGTACTGTGGAGGGAAAAGAGCAGAGGGGGAAGGCTTCTTGGGAGCCTTGACACCTGAGCTAGGCAAGTGCAACTGGGGAGGGGTTATTCTACGCAAGAGGAACCCAGAAGTAGTTTTCATCACGTACCTTCCACAATGAGATGCTTCATTAAAGAGTTTAACTCTGTAAGGGCAACAGCAGACTAAACTTAAATAATAGTAATTCTTTTAAGCTGTTTACTGACGAGATTACATTATTGAGAAAATAGGACTCAAAGAATCCAAGGAATGGCCAACAGCAGAGGCCTCATTTCCATGGAAGGTGATAATTTTCCAGTTCAAATGGTAGTCAAGGATGAGGGTATAGAGTTAATCTTATCTTCACTCCTCTGATCCCTCTGGGCTGCCCAAGGAGTCATTTAGAATGCACTTTGATTGTCTCAAAGGCTTAGAATTCCATCCTATACCTTTGAAAAAAATGCCCTTTGAAAAAAGCAACATGGAGCACATAGTAGTCACTCAATAAATGCTTGTGCATTAATGAGTTTCTCCATTCTGGTTGGTTGTAACAGGCTTTCTTCTCTGAAGCTTAAGAACCATTGGGTTGGGCAGGAGGGCATAAAAAATTATGTAAAAAAAAAAAAATCACCTGTATCCTAACCTGAGAAAATCCATTTAGACCAAATGTCCCTAAGGCCCAACCTCACCCTACCACAGACTTGTTTACCTCTGGCACTGGGCTGTGGAAAAGAGGCACTGCTCTCTTACTGGGTCTCATTACCAGGGAGAGAACTGTTGATGAGCACAGAATGGGCTGGAACCAGAGCGGGAGGGTCTGTGTGTAGGATGGTGGGGGGACAGAAATACAGACATCAAATATTCAAGGGACTGAGATCCCAGCCAGCTAGCCCAATGTCTGCATGGAAAGCTAGCTTAAAGATGTTCTCTCAAATTTTCCTTCTTGGCCTGCTCATAACTAACGTTTACAAGGGGAGTGGTTGTACATCTCCACTGAAAAGCACACCAGCACTTTGTTAGCATATGTGGGAATATTTAACAGTTCATTTCTGTAGAAACAAGAAGGGAGTAAAGAGGTAAAAACAAAATAAACTCTAAATCAGCCGTTAATGTTATTGAATCTGGCGCAGGATAGAATTCAGATTATTCTGCATAATGAGTGGAAATAACCAATATTTAAAAGGGACCTGCCCACAGCCTCTGAGAAATAAGGAAGTAGGTAGTTGGTCAATAGATGACATGGTTGCTTAGGGATATCAAATGATAGCAGTTATGTAAGGCATGGCATGACCTGGTAACCTCATGACAAGGAATTACCTTTGATTCCAGGGCTACTCAGAAAACACGAGTTCATGTAAGCAAGAAGTTTAACTGAGAGAAATGGAAAAATAATATTAAGAAATTACATAATGACATAAATGTAAGATGAGTATGTATTTCTCTGTTAAATACTTATTTACTCCTGGTGGGACTTCACCTTGATTACACATCTTTCTGACCTCAGGGTGACTTGTGGAGGAGGTGGAGGTGTATATGGATGTCTCTGTCTGAAAGGTGTTCCAACACACATTAGGTTGATGTATAGACTAGACGATAGGTTATTAAATACTATATTTCCAAACTGTCAATGATAGAAATGCAAAATCACAGTTACAAATGGCATTTTAAAAACTATATTCAGACTGTCTCCAAGAGCTGTGTTAGAATCAGTTTGTGTTTCAGTTGACTTTCTAAATGAAGAAAATTTCTATCTCAGTCTATTTTAATTTGTAAAAATACCGGTCACTTTAAATTATTTTAATAACCCACTATTCTTTTGTGACCCACAATTTTTAAAACACAGTGATCATTTTATTTTTTTTTCCCAGACCAAAGAATGTGCGTATGAAATTTGGAGCTTATTTTTCAAATCAGCTGAAGCTTCCTAACGGAACTACTGATACTGATGTGTTAACCAAAAAAAACCAAACAAAGTGTTATATAAAGTTGGCTTCCATCAGCTCTGTTAGTTAGCATGGCTTCCTTACTTTCATTTCTTTTCTCTTTCCTTAAATTTTTTTTTCACCACTGGTCCTGTGGGGCACATATTGGGAATAACTAAAGTCATTTCTGGAGTATTTTGAGATGTATATCAGATATGCATAAATTATGTACTTACATATCTTGGTTTTTACCCATATGTCCATTTGTTTGTACAGATTCCAACCAGCCATCTGCTTATTATGAAACCATCAAAATCCAACCTTTTCTCAAATATTGAAATTTGTGATATTTTCAGATGTGGCAAATTCCGTGTTTCAAAATGCATAACTATAAGTATCACTTGTCATACCTACATTTTAGCAAAAATTATGCTGAAAACAAAATTACCATGAAGCTTAATGCATTAATAGGACTTTAATGGACTAATTGAATTTGTTTGGATTTTTTTCTTATTAAGAACTACAAGCAGCTGTTGAAGAAGTGTTGCCAAGCCTGAAAAAAGATGATGTGTCCATCTATTATGTGAGCAGAACTTCCAACACAGGTGGGGTTGACTCTTTCCTAGACAAAGTGGATGAAACATCAACTGAACCTATCCCAGAGTCATGGAGGTCTGAAGTCACTTTTTCCACTCCTGCCTTATACATTTATACTTCTGGAACCACAGGTAAAAATAAAGAGAGGATTCTAAAGGAAATGGACCTATCCTGAATGAGTTAAATGTTGGGTTGGGTTTTCAAATGTTCT